CTTCCAGGCCTCACGCCCCCTTTATGTAGCGTGCAGCCGCATTTCCCTTTTTTTTTTTTTTTTTTTTTTTTTTTTTAAAGACCAGTCTCTAGCACAGGCGACGACATCACTTCCCGATTCCAAATCCCAGATATAATGCCACCCACACAAAACCACTCTTGAAATCGGAATGACTACAAAGGTGATTGCTGCTCTTGTGCCACACAGCTATAGCTAATCTGTGACATGATGCAAAATTGCGAAGCGACCTCATCAAAATAGTCCCAAGCTTTAGGATAAAGAACGAAAAGGCTGCCGCCTGAAGTGCCCCGGCCGACAGGCTCATGTACTTCCCTCTCAAGTACAACACATCCAACGTGCGTAATTTTTCAGCTGATAGGTGACAGTTGCGTAATTTTTCAGCTGATAGGTGACAGTTGCGTAATTTTTCAGCTGATAGGTGACAGTTAAGAATCAGAATTTCATAGGATTTCTCAGAATTTCCCAGAGTTTCTCAGAATTTCTCAGCTGAAGACGGGCAACATATAAACTTTAGATAGAGAGTATAGGATAGCTTCAAAAGAATCTATATAATCGGCAATTCTATTTGGCATAACAAAGAATCTATGAATAAATGAATCTCTCTATAGATCTCCTTTTTTTTTTCTTTTTTTTTCTTTTTTTTTTTTTAATAGGAGAAAATCCGTATATGAAAATTGTGTGAAGGTATGGCCCCGGAAACTATCCCTCGGGCGGGGTCTGGGCTCTACCCTCAGCCCTTGCCCCTGCCTACTTCAAAGCTGCCATCCCTCGGCCGGGGTTAGGCTGAACCTTCGTAGCAGATCCCCTGAATCCTAGTGGACCCTCTGTTTTCTTTTTTTTTCTTGCCCCATAGTGCAATTATAACTCATTTTTGTGATTCTACTGAAGTTACCCCTTTCTTGGGGAAACTACGTGGGAGTCACAGAAAAGAGTTATAATCTAGGCTGGTCCATGGGTCGCCCGGCGGCCTGGCCGTCGCCCGGGGGGGGTATCGGGCCGCCTGGCCGGTTGTCGCGCGCGGTTGGCCACCGGGCGGCCCCAGCGCATCACTGTAGGTTAGGTTCTGGCCGGTTGTCGCGCCCGGTTGGCCACCGGGCGCCCCCAGCGCATCACTGTAGGTTAGGTTTTTTTTCCCCTTCGTAGACCTTGTGGACCGTGAAAAAAAAAAAAAAACGGGGCCGGTAGGCCCGATTTCACCGATTTGAAATCGGGCCCCATCTGGATCATCGATCTTGAAGATCGACGGCCCAGATTGCACCGATTTCAAATCGGTGAGGGCGGGAACTACCGGCCCCCGTTCCCTCCCCTGTGCTGAAGATGTGCCCCCGACGTTTACCCTTTGCTGCCTTGCAGCACTGTGTGTCCGCCGGCCTTCGACGCGCAACGCGCTTCTTCGACGC